TTTTTTTCATATTTCTTTTTGGGTGTGAGGCTCATCGTCACCTTTGCAGACCATTGGGCAGTTTTTGAGCCCTTCTTTCACTTTGCCAAGTCAAGACGCTCACAACAAATTCATCTGTGTATGTGTCAAATGGTGAGCCTTGAGTATAATATGTTTTTGAAACCAGTAGTTTCCATGGGATACAATAATGGTCCACTAAAATGGTCTCTTTGGCGTGCAAAGTTAGTGTGTCATACTTTCTTTAGGTAAATCTGTTTTGCAGCTGATATAAGGTTTATCTTATCATTTCCTATATTCTAGTCAGGTATCGAATTTTTCTACTTATTGATTTTTCGAGAGCTGTTCGTTGTCGACCGTTTTAAACGTCAATTACTTGCAAAGAGTTTTGAATTGTGGAAGTTCAATAGAGAGTTTGATTCTATTTCTTCAAATGTACGGAAGTCCTATAAATGTCCATTATGATGTAAACCTCACCTCTATTCAAAATGATCCAATCCTAGTCCATTCAGATCTGCACAATAATGAAACAAATTTGATCTTAGGTCGCAGTCGGTGGCTAAAAAACGCCGAGAAAGGAAACATGGCCTTAGCGATTTGCACTATATGATTGCCAAAGCATATATCAACCATGGGTATTACGCGAATGCACGAAATCACATGCTTTTTGCCGATCGTCCGGAGGTAATATTATATTGGGGTTATATATTACCGCATTTATAATAGCAACAATGCAATCTTTAGGAATTTGCTAGTTTATTGCATAGGATGTCCGAGGAAGGAGGTTGTAAATCTTCGGAGGCAGAACTTTTCTGCGCCATTTCTGTCCTGCAGGTAGGCTTTATTTCTGTAGAGCTCTTTTCTAGTTCTCATTTTTAAGCCGCCTAGCCTGGTCCTTTTCTTTTGTTGTTAATAAGCAACTTGCTCTACGGAAATTTATATTATCTGGGTTTTTTCATTTGTTTCTATTCCTTTCATCGTAACCTCTTTCTGTTGCATCTGATCATAATTTTTCAGCTTTTAATCTCTTATAATTTACGTTTTCTTTTATCTTCTCCTTCAGCGAATAAGATGAAGGAGTTTTTACTAGAGGGGTTCTCTTTTGGTATTATAGTCTGGTATCCAGAGTTGTAGTGGGATTTCGTGCTCAACTTCTAATGTGGTCTTTTACAGCTGTTGGCTATGCATCGTGTGCAGACGTCTTCCAAACTGTTAGCTGCCTACGCTTCAACTTCGGACGCTTCGCAGAGTATTGGTTCTCGTCAAGAGCTGTTGAACTTTCTCCGATTACTCTGTAACGCGCTTACTTTGCATGATGTACGACAATTCAATTATTTTCAATATAATAACACTTTTATATGGTGATTTAGGTAAATCTCTTTGACCACTTAGTCGCAGTTTACAAACCTCATATTGATGTTGATCCGACTTATCATAATTACATCGATAGAATCGGTCATATATTCTTTGGACATCCTTCCTCCGAAAAGAATCATCCATTTGGTGGTCTTTTCGGAAATATTCTGAAAGGTAGAAGCCTTCTATTTGGCAAATAATTGACGTGTACTGCAATATATCATTTTGCGTCACAGGTGTGCTGGGTGAGAAGAAAGAAGAAGAAGATGACATCTTCTCTGATTCTGACTTCGAACCAAATGCCATGGGTACAACGCGATCCGAGGTAATGAGATCTTA